GTATATTATAATATTAGGAAGCAAATCTTGCTCTATCCGATGCTACTACCAGCCTTGCTCAAGATCTACTGCTCCCACTTTTTCAAGGCCTTGAATACAACATGCTCAACAAGCGAATGCGCACGATTTTCGTCTTATAATCGATTTTGGGCATGAATGAGCGGAATCAGCTCATGATAGGAACTATCGAATAGGCCACTATGGCCCTGCATCTCTGAAAAATGCGCTGTGCAGCGATAGTTTGGAAAGCTTGTGTAGGGATGGTGAGATCCTCAAAGCCTCGGTGAAGGTGGTCGGTTGGATACCGAGTGCTCGTAAAAATTAGCAGAAAGATTTAAGTAACTGCTGGGAAGGCCCCTGAAGGCATTACTGATTCGTGATTCCATGTCATGGGGTAGGTTGAAAAGTCAGGAAAACTCAGTAAGAGGGGAAGAGGGGGGGGGTGGCGCAAAAACTGCGGTCGTACAACCCGCCTGCCCTTCCTTTACCGTCTTTCATCCAATAAAATTAGCCGTTCTTCGTTCGGATTCTGGTATGAAGATGGATTCTTCGCAACAACTTTGGCTGAGTAGTTCCATCACGACTAGGGTTGACAAAACTTCGCAAAGTGAAACTGCACGAGGAGAAGGTTGTGTTGCCTGTTACGCGGTCTGCAGCAGGCGCAGCTCTCCGAGCACAGGCGGAACTATTATAGTGGGACAGTGTTCCTGGAAGGTGTCAAAATACCTCGAAACCTTGATACAGGCGCCCAGCGAGGGCTGCCACAAATGGGTGGACTCTTCTCCGCGCTACATCAGTCCACCGATCGCAGAAGCGCCCCTGTCAAAAAACGATCTAGCTGGAGTCTGAATTATGCCACGAACGTCCACGTCTCAAGAACTCCAGTACCCAGCGAACGGATCGATCAATCATTTATCACGTTGACAACAACGTGAAACGTCCCACGTCAACGCCTCCCATTTGCGGACGACGTAAGCAAACCAGCCCTTTTGGCGCTTCGGCTGGGACCGTATGCTGAATGTTGGGGAGGGGATGGAGTCCCCGACGGTGGACGGACCACTTCAACTCGGTCCTTAGAACCGCCACAATTTGGTGCTTACCTCAGAACTAAGCCTTAAAGAGAGGACGGGTCCGTCCCCTCTCCAAGGCTTAGTCCTGGGGTGAGCAAACCAGCCCTTCTGGCGGAGCTGCTGGACCAGCTGCACCACTTGCGTCAGTACTCTCCTATCGTACCAACCGAGTTGAAGTAAACCGTCGACCGTTGGGGACCCCATCCCCTCCCCAACATTCAGCATACGGTCCCAGCCGAAACGCCAAAAGGGCTGGTTTGCTTACCTCTTTGCGCACCTCGTGGGACATTGTGACGCGGTAACGCGTCCCACCCAAGTCATCCCTTTTTCTTGCGCTTGTGCGACTTATTCCTAAGGTCTTTGTACTCATTCTATAGGTCATACATTAGCATACTTAAAAACCACATGGCTCACAGAAAGGCCAAATATTCTTTAGTTTGGCAGACGTTTTCCAGACCTTACGGATATGTCTGTTCAGTTCATTCCTCGTTTTCTTTTCAATAACGTAGACATGTTGATAAAAAGGAATAACAGAAGCGAATACAAACCTATTCGTATGGGAAGATATGTGTTTTTACTGAAACAACCACGTCCAAATTAATTTTGGAACCACTAAAGGGAAATTAAGTAAAATTTGCCTTTTCATGGCCTTAACACGTTCGGTCAAACTTCCATTACTGTAACTCCTGATAGATCGAACATCATTGAAAACATTTCATCGCATCTAAGTATTGCGTATTTACAGCTCAAAATCCATGGATTTGGTGTGCGGCGGCGGCGCTCGCAAAATCGCTCTGGTCCCACGCGGTGCAAAAACCCAAAACGCGCGATGTCGTCAACGTGTTAAAGGAATCTTCGCGGAAAAATCATGATTCTATTTCAGCCATAAATCACTGGCTTGAGACTCATTATCCACGATAAGAATGAAAAGAACAGAAATATTGCTTTTGTTTTGGTAAAAAAAATCGAAAAATCGAAAGGGCTGCTACGCGTTCAAAGTGCCCACGGACGTCTTTCACAAATGCTGGCGACGGGGATGCTTCCACTTGGTTCTTGGAGTGCCTTCACTAGAAACTCTTTCTGGCCTTCTGCTTATTGCATTCACATCTTACACTTCTACTCCATCCTATTCTATCGATCGATTTGTCTCTACTCTCCGAAATCGCGCGCTTTAACCCGATTCTTTCATTGCGTCGCCTGATACGTAGCCGGCCAAAGGCCAACTTCTTTCCATGCCTCGCCTTTGGCTCCGCCCGAATTACCTTCGATTGTCCATAGAGTGTAGTTTTTGTACGTTTGTTTCTCTTCGGAAACCGAATCTTCATGCGTGAAACTTTGTGTGCTGTTTCCAGTGATCACAACTGACACATTCATGTTAGAAAGAATGCAAGAATTTTCCGCGAAGGATTCCTTTAATGTTGACAAGGATGAGTAGATTGCAATAGCTTTTGCTACGAATAAAAACGTCGTGTTTGAGTCGATATACACATATGAATTTCAGGGCATTAAACCGCAAGAACTTTCCTTACAACCTAATTTTCAGAAAAGTGGGGTCGTTTGGAGGGACGTGGGAAGAGAAAGGCTTTGAAAAGTTGAAAATTTTTTCACCTTGTGGGAGAAATTTTAAAAAATTGCCATTCCAGCAGACATGAGTAATCCCGTCGAGGCACTTCCGGGAGGGGGTTGTACCATCCAACCTGCTTCATACTGTCAGAATGAAGCAGGTTGGACGGCACTATACGCTGTAGCCACTCTCGAAGTCAGACGGAGGGGGAGTGTTGGTCAAGGACGCCCTCCACAGGGGCGTCCAATTTCAAAATTTCCTGTCGTGACGATTGACCCAGACTGTACCCCAGTATATAGTAAATTTAAGTTTGTTCCAGCTGAAGTAACCTTCAAGAGTTCCAGCTTCAGATAGCTGTTGAGGATCCAACGACAATATTCTGATGGATAGACCTGTTGCTTGGCCCAAACTCCTGCTCAATTGGGAACCGTGATCCAGTATTTGCAAAGTCTTGAGTACGACCTGCCTCATGTCGAGCAATGAAACCTAACCAAATATTATGTTCAAGGAAAAAAGAAAATAAATCCAGTACCTCTGCTTGTTAGTACTCGAGGCCACAGATCTTAACACATTATCGATAGTCTTCAAAGCGGCGTCAGAAGGACTCCATGTGCTCTCAAATTCCAAAAAGTGAATCGAAGTATCAGCAAACACTCATCGACATTGAAATACCTTTTCCTTAACAAGCAATGCTTCCAAAGTAGCTTTTTCCAATACGACGTCAAAGGAGGCTGACGGAATTTTTTCTAACGATTGAATGTCATCACATATCCATTCCATTTCTGGATGAGCAATACGACCAGCATCGACCAACACCTTCAATGTCAGCTTAGTTGACTTGTTCTTCTTCACATTTCATTCACTCACAATAGATGAGTGCTTTATAAACGTCTCAGTATATGCTGGCCTCATGCTACCCTTTAAGATGGTAATTTTTTCAAGTTTTGAGAGATATGAAGAATGCTACTTCACAGTTCAAATTAGATCTTCTTTCCTATATGAGATGAATTTTAATCAACTCAGATCGCTGTATCATAGGAGCACGACAAGAGCTCAAACTGAAGTCGCACTTATTCGAAGGCGGCGGCTCTTATAAATCATCTTTACATGAATGGAAAAAGTGCTGTTCAAATCCACGATTACTCCAACTACTTGAAAACGAACTTGTCGAGTACAATTTGAAAGTATTCAAAGGAAATAAGTTGTTCTATCAGTAATGGGGTATAAATAACCTGAGAAAAATCCACATTTGTAATATTAGTGAAGCCCATTTTGTATAGCTGCATTGACATCTGACTTGTACCACATCCAATGTGCAATATTCTAAACATAATATCTGACTATGGACCGCGTTGGGAGATTTTTCTGATCTCGATCTAGCTCTCGGAGAGATAAATATGTTAGGATCAAACAGTGTGATATTCCTGAGAGCCATTTTCCATCACCGCGTACGGCCCCAATTCTTATAATGGAGTTGCAGAGTTGAAAGGAAATCTTAGTTCTTAAGTCATACAAACACCATATCCAGCGCTAGAAAATCCTACTTTATAGACCTGATATCTATACCAAATGAACCTTACAGCTGAACAGTACCTAGAGTCCGGAGATAGCTTCGGTATTATCAGGTGTTTAAAGGCATCAAAATCCGCCAGCCATTCAAACTGCTTCTCTTCAGCAAACCGTTCATCCCAATACTGTCTGTTAGCGTACTGATGGTTACTGTCCATGCCTTAATACCATGTTACCTTTGTACAATTTATCAAGTAACTATTTTTTGAAGGTACGTCATCATGTTGGACTGACAAAGGTGAGACTACCAGATCTTCCTCACACTTAGATAACCACAAATTGCACGAAATTATCTTTTCGACAATTTATCTTCTATTAACGAGACAACAAGATCAGTGTATGCACGTATTTCATTTCAAAAAAGATAAATGTAACTATTTCAGCTACGCGAAAAAAATAGAGAGTAATCAGAAACCGAATACACCACAGAAACGTGCCAAAAGCCGTACAGCATGTGCATGCATACACGCAACCACGACGATCACACGGCGCTGACAGTTCCAAGACCCCCTCCACTGGCAATACGAATAAGCACTACTTTAACAGCGTTAACTATTGTAAGAAAAAACAATCATCACTGACTAATATAAATCATTAACGAAACTCGTCAACCCTACAACAAGAACTCCTTTTCGATTTAGCATAATATGATCACAATTAATTAACGACAAGTTGTACAACCATTGTAACGAAACAAATAACTTTGTGGAGGGGGTCTACATAGGGTCTGCCCGCGCCTCTGGTGAGGTCACATCATACTCCGGCCTGCAAAATCAAGACTGGAACCTAATAAAACGACAAATACGTGTTAGTCAGAGCATTTAGAAGCGTATTACAAACCAAAAAAACATAAGCATCGTGTCAGCACTGACCGAACGGTTTTTGCTTTACAGCTTTGCAAACACGAAGAAAAAAGAATAAGGATAAAAGGAATACCACCAATAAATTACAGCATGTCAACATTGACAATCATACAAAACAGCAAATGTATTGCCATATTGCATGCGAAGTGTAACACAAATAACGAGAAATGGAGCCTGGTTTAGTCCACTCACGTGTAAGGAAGAAATCCACGAGGACGACTGAAAGTTTCACATTTCAATTGCCAAACGTATATGCATTATCAAAAACAATGCCGCCCTTAACCTCAACAATCAAAGTGAACTAAGCAAACACATGACTTACCGAAGACCACGCGCTCCGCGAGGACGATATCCGCCCACCGGAACATACTTGATAATGTAACCAGGAGGAGCTCCTGCAAAACCTCCTCGTCCACGATAACCGCGTCCACGAGGCGGACGATTCGTAGTTGAAATACCGGGACGATTTGTACGTTTTTCCATTACCTAAGAAATGAAAATTATTTCTAAAACGTCGTTCGTGATGAAGCACTCATCACCTTTATCTGCCGTCCTTTGAGAAGACTGTCCGACATTGCCAGTGCCATTTGCATTCCTTCTTTATCGGCGAACTCTGCATACGCAAACCTGAACAGAGCACAATAAAGCATTCAAAACAGCATGGATCAATAGCTTTGTACGCCATTCATCCTACATTCATCGGAATCGACCTCTAATGCGACCTGAACGCCATTTTATGTTCTGTATTTACTTTGGATGATTTTTTGAAATAGTACTAAACAAAAAGCGCCGCTTGAAACTATATCTTTTCCGCAAAAGGCAATAAAAATCAATTAACAATAATTCCAAGACTTAAGAGCATGAACCGAGCCATGCCCGTACAAAAATTCAGCTTTTGCCTTGCAAGAGTTTTTACATTTTTTTGCGGTTTTGTGACTTTTCTATGCTGTGAGATGGCGCTCTGTGCAATTGTCACTTTGAAGTAGTAACGATGCAGAACTTTCGCAAGAATCGGTAAATGTAAGATAATGTAAGAGGCAGAGGGAGAAATGTAATTTATAAGGTACGATACATCGTTAGTTGTGTACTTATGGGTAATTTCATAGAAACACATGACGGTGAAGGCCAAGAACGCCAGCGAATTTTATGGATCCTGACAATTCTCTCTCTCTCCTGTTCTTTACGATGATATTTCCTACCACGATATAAATCTAGTCTTTAGGAAGAGGTCTTTATGGAAAAGTAGAAGGTTCAAGTAATCAATTTCGGTCGGTTTTCGCTCAACTACTGCAGTGGAAGTATTCTTACGTTAGAGATAGTAAATGATCTCTTGCCACTAAGTGAGAAAATCGCTCCGAAAGTTCTCTGGTAATAGTGAAGAAATGAGAATGAAATAGAACGTGAAGATCATAAGCTTAATTAAGCACACGTTGCTACGAGAAAAAAATAATAGTGTTGTGTCTTAGTCAGAAGCGAAGTATTGTAATGGTCAGTCCTATATCGAAAAAAATCACCCTGGTAATTACAAAGCATAGAATGAGAAAGAGCGTGAAGAGCATTTTCGACGCATCATCACGGAAACAAGAACTTAAAACGCTCAGTGGTAAAAAGAATGAAAAATTATAACGAACCCCTTGGGATGCCCCGTATATTTGTCACAGAGAATAGTTACACGTGCCACTGATCCGCAACCGTGGAAGTGTTTCTCGAGTTCTTCAGCAGTTACACTGTAGTCGACCTGTAATACATGTCCTAGAGTGAAGCGATAAAATGTAATGAGAAAGAAGAATTGTAAGGCTAAGAGTTCGAAATGCAAATAAAATAAACTTCAAATAACTACTGACATTTCCAATATACACAGAGCGAGAATCCGCCTCAGCTTTTTCTTCGGGAGTCAAAACTGCAGGACTACTAGTCCCATTGCTACTCCTGGGTAGGTTCATTTGGCCCTAAACAAGTACACATTATAATCACAGGCCATATAAATGCACCGCTTTTTGAAAATAGCAACGATATATTATTTACCTCAATGTCACTTTGCATTTGCTTTATTTTCCTCTGCTCTTCCTCGAACTCCTCCATTTGCTGTTCGATGGAAGATAACTCCTGCAATAATGAACCACTGAATATGTTCGGTTAGTAAACTAATAAGCATTACTCACAGCCATATCCGCTACACTGTTCCCTGTAGTGCTGAGGAGGTCGTCATCATCAAGTTTGATCGAGTCTTCCATATCACCCATTTTCCCTCTAAAATTCTCTACGATCAACGAAAATATTGCCATTCAAGCAAAGTAATGTACAGTAGAAACAAACAAGGAAGAACCAGCAAAGAAGTATCGTTCGATTCAAAGAATTTCGAAAATCTAGGCAATCATATGTGAAACACGTTGTAATAGAGTAGCGCTGCTTCATGTAAGCCGATATTGATTGGGTGTCGAAGAAATTACGAGAAGACAAATCGCATAAGCAAAAGAAGTTTATGCCATAATGAAAGAGAACAAAAAAGAGGACGGCTCAAGCACAATAAAACTCGTTGTAAAACGCTAAAGAATCTTTAGAGAGCTCGAAGAGGGCATAAGCGCACTTCGTTGAAATGTAAGAAGGAGAATCGTATAGGAGAAAGAACGTCAAGAACATGAAAGCAGAAACAGCAGCACAACCGATCGAAGGCGTTCATCACAGTGGCGACTGCTTTTCGTTTCATATTTCCGTCTGATGCGCGCGTGCCAGGCGCGTCCACGCTTCCGCGAATGGAGCACGATTTCTGCAAAAGGTTCAATTCCGCTTCCTTGTTGTCTTTGGGTGTGCTTTTTGCCATTATTTCTTATCCTGTACACTAATGTCTTGCTTATCTGACGCGAAAATTGTGTTCATATGTTATGAGGTCTAATTCGCGCTGCTTCCTACGTTCTTCTCCCTTGAAATGGTTGAAAATACAATTTTTCTCAGAGTAATTCTCCAGAAAAGTGGAAAAAATTACCTGTTTAGTCCGTTGATCGTCCAAGTAGCAGGCAATACCTGTTTATTGATGGACTTAGTACAGATTCGTTTTCTACGCTGGGGCTTCGTCCTTCAGCTGATTTCTAGCTCACATCCTTTGCACTTTTTAACCATAAACGCCTGCGAGACTTCTGATAACGAAGTTGGCATTTAGTTGGGAAAGCATATGCCTTGTCAGGTCGATTCAGCTTCGAGAATACAGCCAAGCGGTCACAATGTCCCTAGGGGAAATTCGCTAGCCAGAGCATTCAATAACCGGTGGTAGGTGACACTAGGACTAACCAGTGGTAAGCCCAGTACTGGGAATAAAGACAAGAGAGAACGATAGCTGCTCTCAAAATCCTATCCCCTCAATAAGAATTAGTCCAAAGTTCTGTTAGTGACCCATTCATTTCAATGTCCCCCCTACCCAACATAGCGTCCGCGATAGATAGTGTCATGTGGAAACTCCCAAATAAGCTTGGTATACGAAGTGGAGCGTCACCGGAAGTGACGTGCACTTGATAGAAGCTATGTGGATAAGCTGCTTCCAACATACATCTGCTATCCAGCAAAGCATGCTGGCAACAGCTTATCCACGCAACTTCTATCAAGTGCACGTCACTTCCGGTGACACGCCTACCCCAACTTTCGGATATCGACTGTAGCTTTTCAAAACGCTGAATTATAAAAATCAATTAAATTATAAACCTAGCCTTATGGTTGACAGAAGTCCTGAGACTACATGTATAACGAGCGTGGCAGAAGTCGATCGCTAAGTGGTTGCGGGTGAAACTTTTTTCGTAGCGTTTCCTGACCAGGTGTGATCAACACTTATCTTTTTTAAATACATGCAGGATTTCTAAGTTTAAGAAGTGTCATGAATCTGAATCATTCAGTACTGGCTGCTCATATCGGGGTGGGGGGAGGGTGGACAATGAGGTGAGCGAGCCACCTATAAGGCTGGTGTCAGAGTCCGCGATCAGTCGTACAATTCGCGCGAATCGCAAAAATCTAATAGCCTCACTTGAACATTGGGACACTGGATATGAAAAAATTTTTATAGGATCATGAAGAGGGTCATCCAACCATCACTATCGGGCAGTAATGCCGGCGAAAGTGGAGAGCATCAATATTGATCGGGGCCTTACGATTTTTTGTGATCCGTCGTGCAAGCGACGGATCGCGGACTCTGACACCAGCCTAATACTAGAGACTAAAGTAGTTTAGGGAGGGGAAGAGATTGTGGGGGAAAATGTGAACAACTCTTTTCTTCCTGGTATTTCTCCCCTCTTGGGCTTGTGTCATCTACCAGCAGTTTTTGAATGCCAAGTTTTGAATGTCCCTCTGAGGTCAGGAACGCCCAACGCTGTTTTCGGGTCTTATCTTATAAGGTTGTGGGCGTATGTGCTGCGACAGTTCATATCGCCTAAAGTTGTCCATTTTTTTAGGGGAAGAAGCTCCCCGCCGGATGTCAAAATCAAAGCGAAATGGTTCACGCACCTCGGTAACTTATCTCACTTCAAAAATTGGAATTCCCGCAGGCACCAGTTGTCGCATCCCCAACCTCTCCTTACTGGATGAGACCCTTATGTCTTTTCTAGAAATAGCGAGTTTTGGAGTGAACGGTTTTCCCAAGGTCCTTGTGCACAGATCACTTTTCAGCGCAAGTTCCTCCCACCGTTCTCGACTTACTTCAGAGGGCTGGCTCATCGCTGTGAAATGACTCCTCTTATTGATAATGTGTAATGCATTGCCACGCTTTCCTAAGTTTCCAGAATGAAATTAGTGATGTAAAAAACTGGCCGTCAACGCGCTTGCATGAGAGAACCAGTCCACAAATGAAAAAGCTCGTAGAAAGCGCGTAATTACCACTTTGGTAAGAGAAAGAAAGACCAACGAAGTACATTAGGTTACGAAGGTTTGCGTGTTCATACTCAGGCATGTGCTTTGACTTGAAACCGTTCACTGGTATTTTTTTTGTTTTATTTGACAAGAAACTAGTTATTCGGTATGGTTTTCTTCATTTTTCATCTTATTTGTGACCTCACATCCTTACATCCTCGGAGAGCTAGGCCATACTTCTCCATTGCACGATCGAGACGCATCTCTCCACTTCGTTGCAAAGTGTGACCCGACCTTGAATATTTCTAGTTTCAGAGATAAAATGAGTGGCGGTGACGGGAATATCACGGAAGAAAAGCCGAGTGATGCTGATAGTGGTGGTAATACAAATGAAAATTCCGATGAGAGCGAAAGCAGCGACGAAGAAGTAAAGGTATTTGGCTAGAATTAGTCATTATTCTTTCCAGTAGAGCAGTCAGAGCAGCGAATAGTTTATTTATTTGTTTATATGTACCCTAAGGTGAACAATGTTGTCCAAAAAGATCCAAATGCAATATCAATATTGCCCAAAAAACGAATCAATCGTAGAAAAATTGGTCCAACTACTCAAGGGCTATTTCTCATGATGCGGAATTCGCCAAATTACTACGTGTGGCAAACTGTTTATGTTGTTCTTCCCTA